AATATCCATATAGTTGACATCTAATTTATTATATTGTTATTGATATCTTTATTTTTGTATTTCTGAAGCTGTTGCACCGATAATACATTTAATTACTAACGATTGGACAAAGACAACAACATCTCAAGAAAAAGCAATGATGATAGCAAAAGCGCAAATTGCACGCATTATTATCACATTCGGATACGGCATGATGGCAGCGGCCATTACTGTTATGTCTGTTTTGCCTATATTTGGTTACTCGGTGAGACATTTGTCCAATATTACTGCAGATCTGGACAGACCACTCCCAATTCAGACATATTATATCTATGATACAACAAGAAGTCCACAATATGAATTGACATATGCTGCTCAATGTATTGTCTTATTCTTTTGCACCGTGTGTTATACAGGCATAGACAATTTTCTTAGTCTTTCAGTATTTCATATTTCTGGTCAACTAGACATTCTGAGAAATCGTCTCTTGCATTTACATATTGTCGCCAATTTTAACAACGTTTTAAAGAGTTGTATAATGGAACATATATAGCTGCTTAGGTATATTTTGTCCTAAATACATGTTCCTATATATGTACAATAGACTCCGGATTATTCAACAATGCTTTTTCGTCTCCCAGGATTGTTCAACCATGTTAAAGATCTCTCGTAATGATAACATTATGCGCTACTTTTTTAGAATACCATTATCGTGATGAAATTGTCAACTCGATAATAAGGTCAGATAATCCGGAATATGAAAAAAACGCTGTCGGATAATATGGAATCTATTGTATATCTATATATATTATGTGTTTCAAGTGTAACATATACGTATATGTAAGTAATATGCAAGGATCAAATAATTGAAAGAATATTAATTGCAATATTAAATGTAAACAATTTTGTATATAAATTTTTTTGTCGTAAATAAAAAACGTTCAAGAGAGGGAATCCAATAATAAACGGAATTGAGTGCAGTGTGCAAGACGGTTATAGTAGCTTTATTGCGCTGTTGAGAGATACGAATGAAAATTATTTTTAAAAAGTCTGTCAAGTAGAGTATAGTTATATAGTTACAATTTGAATGAGTTCTTTTCTGCTAAGTTTTTTTTGTTTCTGTAAGCAATTTCGGTAATTTCTGTAGTAACTAACAAGGAAAGAACAGAGAGTGGGTGTAAAATTTTGTTATTTTTTCAGGAAATTTAGATTAATAAAACAATTATTGTTTTTACAGCCCAAAATATTGCAGAAATGCTGCAATATTTTGGGCTGTAGAAGCAATTTTGTTGTACACAACTGTACCAAAAGGAAGAAAAAAAAGTTTTTTAATAAAACGGAAAAAATAACTAAAATACTTTTAAAAAATGTCTGATTAAATTTTATTTAGCTTTCTCTTAAAAATTTTTTCAAGCATTAAAATATGCATAATTTGAACAGCAGATCCAAAGGAAAATAAAACTTCACGACACTCTCTGACATTGTTTCTTAACAATCATCACGAAAATTTCCAAACTTTTTTACAAACTCATACAAAAAAATTTAACTGTAAAGAAATTAATTAATTCAGATTCACGGTACCTAGTAAATTTTTCCAAAATAGATTTGACTTGCCACTCCTAACAATACTTAAACTACTATATATACGTCCAATTCGCACGCCGATACAAATTCTGATTTACTTTTAGTCTTATCTAATGTGTTTATATATTTGCTTTAATCTAATAAGTGATTGAATAGAATTTTAAAATAAATTTCATTATGATATTAAAGTATATTTCTTATCAGAACAGAAAATTGTTATTTCAAAATTATATTAAAGATTTAAACAAAGTTAGTATTTTTTTCTAATAATACAAAATATATTCTTATAGATATGTATATAAACATGATAGATATCTTCTTTAGTACAGAGTATTATATAAAATGACATTTTCTAGAGCTATTAATCATGTGGAAAATATATTCAGTATAATATTGCTGATACTATTTCTGTATTTTGGTACACTCTTTGCTTTCTATGGATTTTGGATAATAAATGTAATTACTTTATAAGAATATTTATTATATAATTTACCGCTTCATAATTAATTTTCATATACATAAAAATAACGTCATATTTATGTTCCAATTGAAATCGCAACTTACATTTACACACTTTTTTACATGTTTTTTTATTAACAAGAATTGTAAAATTACAATTCTAAAATTTTCTTATTGATTATATGTTTTAAAAAACTTTAGAATTGGAATAACTATAATAATACACACGACAGAATTCAGTATTTAATATTTACATAATAGATAAAATTATATAAGCTATTAATATATCTAATAATTCTAACAAGAAAATCATTTCACAAAGTACCAATTTCTAAATTTTAATCAAAAATTTATATATAGGCTACGTAAATAGATGAAGTCAATAAATATCGCCTGAAGCAAAGAAAATAGTTGTAGGCTGTCTAGATTGTTCCATTTTTCGATTAACTTCGGCTGGCTGTCTTATTCTCTTACCTTCTTATGTTCTTACTCTTTTAATTTTTTGTTTCTATAGCAGGTAAATTATCACATAGTTTATCCGAAAATAAAACAATCGACCCTTAAGGAGTAGAAAATCTTATATATATAAATGTTTTTTTTATTATACCTAAAAAATGTTGATGTGTGTGAAGATGTAGAAAAATATTTTATAAAATATTTTATAATAAAAAAAAATTACCTCTATTTATTCACGTTAATAATATTTTAAAGAATAGATATTGCTGAAATTTATACTTCCAAAATTATTTTTTATGATTCCCTTACTGATGTAGATAAACAGGCAATTTCATTACAAAACTCTTTTGTATAAAGTATTTTATAATATATTAAATAATTTTTGATACATAATAAAACACCTAAAGACACTTTACTTAAAAGGTGCGTATTTACTCCTTGAAATCGTTTTTAGTAATTATAAACATTAATGGACACCGCGCCGATGACCTTGACCTCGGCATATGTTGTTATAGCCCTGAGTGACCTCGACAGGTTTTAGGTGGCGGTCGTTCTTCGTTAAAAAGTTATTAACAAAAAAAATTCAACTATATAACACGAAAATTCCCTGCTTTAAAATATGTTTGATAGTCGTGCACTGTAAGGGACACCGTGCCGACGACCGCGACTTTGGCATATGTTGTCAATCAGTACAATTATGGAAATCCGACGACCCTTTGCAGTGGGAAAGGGGAGTGAGAGCCGTGCGCCCCTGAAGCAGGAAGGGAGGACATAACAGTCGGGGATGAGAATCGTGCGCCCCTAAAGCAGGGGGGAGGGGGGTGAAAGTTGCTTCGTGCTGAAAGTAAAAACCTATGTAAAATAGTATTTAATATTGCATATATAGCAGAAATAATGCATCATTTTGCAAACTTCATTTGTTAATAACTTTTTAATAAAGAACGAGCAAAAAAAAATTTTCCCTGCTTTACTCTACATACATGGTTTTCAATACATGGTTTGATTAGGATTAGGTTATTATACACCCATGAGGATATAACAACCTAACCCTAACAAAATTCGATACATGGTTTGATTAGGATCAGGTTATTATACATCCATGGGTATAGATTATAGAATAACCTTACCCTAACCAAACCATATATCGGAATTTGTTAGGATTAGATTGTTATTCCCCATGGATGTATAATAACCTAACCCTAATCAAACCATGTATTGAAAACCATGTATGCAGAGTAAAGCAAGAAAAAATTTTCTGTTCTAAGAACAAAAATTATATAAAAAAATATGAATGTCCTGTGCCACCAAGTAGGGGGGGAAGGCGGGGTAGGAGTCACTCCGCGTGGAAAGTTGTAAAATATACCTAAAAGCAGAAAATTTCTGTTTTATAATATATGGTGGAAAAGGGATATTGTATACGTTTTTTCTTAAACTTTTTTTGTTAATAACTTTTTAACGAAGAACGACTGCCACCTAAAACCTGTCGAAGGGTCATGACCTTGAAATATATGGTAAGGTCAAGATATCATCGGCGTGTTATCCATTAATGGATATAATTACCACGTTTTTATTACAACAAATCATATTCTTTAAATTTATTTATTTACGTAATCCATAAATTAATGTTTTATTAAAATCAAAATTGGCATTTCGCAATGATCTCTTGTTAGTAATATTAACGTATTACCTACCTAATATATTGCTACGACCCACTTGTGGTGGTATAAATATTTTGAAACATCTTTTGATTGATCAATGAATAAAATTGTTTTAAAATATTTGTAGTGTTAATTCGATCGCATTTATACCTTAAATATATATATTCTTTTTTTAATAACATATGTAATCCTAACATAACACATGTATCATAATATACGTAATCTATCTTTAATAATAACTAGGGTTACCAATTGTACTCTTTTTCAGGTCGAAGAACAGTATACTCTTACGTTTCACACATTCAATTCTGTTTTGAGAAATGGGACAATATTTAAAAAATTATTATTTAATATTTTTACTTTACAAAAAAGTTTTGCTTTCCTTGAACTAAGGCTGTGTTCGTTTTGGACAGTATGCAATATTTAAATGTTTATTTACACATTATATAGACGTTTTGTTAGAGATTTGGTTATATATATTTGTTGAAGAAACTTATAAGTTAAAAATACATTGAATCAATTGCATTTTCTCAATTCTAGTAACATTAACGTTAAAAAATCTGGAAGTGAAACGTAAAGAAACATATTTATTTGTAACTTTATAAAGAGTAATGAAGACTGAATTGTCAACAAAAATTACATTCTAAAAATGTCATTTTAATAAATATCAGCATTTAAAAAATAAAACCTCAATTCTTCATCTTTCTTTCCTTCTTTTCTTTTTTTTAAAAAGTATACTCTTTTTGCCAATCAATGTATTATTTTCGACCGAGAGTTGGTAACCCTAACGATAGCATATGCTATAATACCAAGAATAACATAACATTACACCTTTTGTAACATATATTTTAACTAACTGACTAGATGCTCGAAAGTAGACAGCACTTAACGATCTCAAACTTGGCATATATTATATGCGTCGTTATCAATACATTTGGTCACATGTGCATGTACTGTGCTGTTGGTGAAATATTAACAGCTCAGGTATAATTGAAATGCTTTACTTCCTATCAATTATTATATTTTTTCATGCACAATTGCAGATTATAATAGATGTATTCTAAAATCAGAAATAATAATAGTATTATACTTAGTAAGCAAAACGTTAGCAGAATGTCAACAAATTTATAGTAAATTTAATCAGAATTAGAGATTAACAGATTGGCGCCAACTAATGTCGCATTCTTCTACAGTACTGTCGATAGCACTTTTAAAAAATTTTATTTCAATAGATTGTGACAGAAATTAAACAGAATGCTTATTAATATTCTACGACAACAGATTGACAACAGAAACCGATCAAGATCTGCTGAGAGAATTTAACGTGAAATTGATAATAGAAATCGAGCAGTATCTGTGCATACTGTCTGAAGCAAACTAATGACAAAAATAGAGCAGATTTCGCTATTTTGTGGATATTAAAATTGTAACGTTATTATTACTGAAAAATTTGTCAAAATGACACTTTCTATTATCTACAATTTTTTCTATTTTAAAGAAATAATTTTAAATAATTTCATTAATAAATAAAATATATTTTACATATGTATAAAAGCTTAAATATACATACAAGGATCGAAACGTTTGTTTATATTATTCATTGCCGGCATATTAAAATTTTATATTGTGACTACATGACATATTTATTTTGTATTTTTTGAAACATCACTATTTCTAACGACTTATTCTTAGGCTCGTGGCTCTTTTTCTTTCAATTTTTTTAAATATACATACTCTGTCTGTACATTAATGATATACTTAGGAACAGTGGCGACTTAAATTAAATTAAATTTAATACTACCTAGACAGCACACGACGTCCATTGGACATCCAATGAATGTCGCGTGCTGTATGGGTAGTGTCAAATTTAATTTAATATAAATCGCCTCTGCTCCTAAGTATATCATTATTTTATATTAAAATAATAAATTTGACACTATATTCGGTCAATTTAATTATACCTAAATTTTTACGTTCAAATAACATTTTTGGAACGTTTTTTAGATGTTCCAAATACATATTAAAACGGGATATTTCTAGATATTTTTAGACGTCCAAAGACTTCGAATTAGTTTAGGTAAAAAGAATGTCAATTCACACATACTGTCGTCAGAACAGAAGCAGAAAGCGAAATCAGTTGAAATTAATCTACTAACATTCTCCGATCAAATATTCTGTCAGTCTACCGACATTCTACAATACACATTTTATTTACAAAATAGTCTTTGCCTAAAATTTGCTTTTCTAGCATCAGAAATCATATAGCAGACTCTGCTCAAAAGAGTGACCGAAAAAATCACCCCTTTTTTGGGCCTCTGATTTTAGAACTGAACTGTGTGCCAAGTACTACTTTATATTGAGACATTAATCAGAGAGGTTTGAAATTGAGATGACAATTATTATCAGAATTGGGAGGGTTGAAATCAAAATCCATTCATTAAATTATCATAGGTCCGGTATTTCAAGAAGGTTGATCCAGAAAGTTGTATACCAATTGTCCTACTAATTGAATAATTTAAAATAACATAATCTTATTAGTAAAGCAGTAAAAAATTACTAGAAACTGGCCAATGTGTATGGTGTGAGTAATTGAACAATGTGCAAGTGCGCCGCTCCCGATGAAGGCAAAATCAACTGTTAATTCAGCCGATGGAGGGAAGATCAACTAGACATCGCAATCATTTCAGTGATTTTGTAAATCAATTTGTTTTAAATGTAAAAAAACGGATTTTCGCATAGACGTAATACGTGATCCCCCTCCCTCTCCAGCTATAACAATAATTGTCACCTCAACCTAAAATTTCCTTATAATTAATATCTTATTAAAGGGTATTATTTGGCACACAGTTCAGTCCAAAAATTGAGGACCCAAAAAACGGACGAAAAAAACCACCTTTTTCGTGCTTTTTCAGTCACTCTTTGTTTCTGCAGACTTGACTGAGGTGTTTTATTTTTTATATACATTAAATGTACATTTCATATATATCAAATGAAACTTATATTAACAAGTATATATTATGTATGTGTGATAATTACATTCATAAAAGTTTTAAGCTGCAATTGTATTTAATATCCAAAGTATAAATATTAGTTAATATAAAAAAATTCACAAATGCATGTAAATTTTCATACATGTACATTATTATACAGCGAACTATTTTAATAATTTATATATGTATGTACTTTTTATAATTTTAAGTGTGACAAAATCCACTATGCTGTGTATTCCAATGAATGGTATACTATGAATGCAAAAAATACTCGGGACCTAGTTCTTCTAATGTTACGAACCAGTAAACCTCTTCATCTAAACTTTGGCAAACTATTTCCTTTAACGATGGCTACATTTTGCAGTGTAAGTTATCTCGAATTTTAAACATGATTGTAGAGACAAGACGGTCTTTTTATATGAAAAAAAATAATGTCAACGTAAACACAAAAATTTGAAACATTCAAGTAAAAATATTATAAAATATATAAAAGAATAAAGCACTCCGTGTCAATTATTCAACTGCTAAGAGATTCTTTGTAACATCAATGATTTTCCGCTGACTTAGATGTTTTAAAAATTCACAAATGTTTATAAAAATATAATTTTCACATGAATTGTTTTATTTCTTTTAATTATTACAGATTATTTTCATAATTATTGCTTAATTTGTGTCGCATATGATGTAATGATTGTAGTTTGAACTTGTTTATACGCTATATTTCTTATAAAATATTTATTATATATCTAACATTTAATCATATGTATATATTATTATATGTACATCTATATTTTCCTATCGTTTTTCCTTAAAAATGCCTTTTATTAATTTATTGTTCTATTTTTTGTAGCTATTAAAAACGTCAGCAGGCTACATATCTGTATTACTTACAACAAGGAGTCAATCAAAGTTTTAAAATATAAATAATGCCCAAATTAGTATTAAAAATGCAAATTCAATAATGTGATTTAACCAAAAAATATTAACTAATTTAAAGTATGTCATGTAAGATACTTGAAAAGTTTACGTAGAATGATTATGTACATTACGAATAAACTCAATACTTACATTTTCTGCTGCTGACTAATTGTTCTACTGGTGATTTATTATGTGTTCTCTATCCGGTACATATAAACAGAGTTGGGGAAAGATTTTTTAAAGTACATTTACATAAAGTGAATTTAAATATTCCATACATTCAAATAAATTTCATATTTTATTGATAAAGCCAAACTAATTAAGACAAGTAAATAGTCCTCTACTGTAAATACAATAACTGAGAAAAAGTGAATCAATAGTTACTTGTTTATTAAATAGGTCATAATGATAAGAAAATTATAACTATCAGTAATATTCTATTACAATCTAGGAAATATCACAATAATACATTTATTTTAATACTGCAATTATAGATAGACCGAACAAACACTTTAATTGTAATAAAAAAGTAATATTATATACAAAATACTGCATACTACACACAAAAACAAAAAAAATATAATTAAAATAACACAAAATGTTCAAAATCGATTACAAGTTCGTGAGAACTTAACACGAGGGTAAAAACAAGTTGCAAACAAGTATTTAACAATCCCTCGTTGTTATGCCAGTTTTTATTTCCTTCAAATGTTGCACAAACGAGGAACTAACAAAACTTCTACAACACGAAGGATTTAAAATTTTTGAAGTCAATCCTCTTTGTGCAATAATCATCTATTACTTTTAAAAAATATTATTATGCACACATGCATGGATTATCGGTTAAGTAAAAATTAATGTCGTTCTATTATATAAGGAGAAAGTAGATGCCAATGGATGATGAAGAAACAAGAAACAATAAAATAAAGCTAAACTCTATGATAATAGAATTCTATTATAGAAGTATATGTACAAGAGACCCGCTATTAAAAATATCTACATTCAGAAAGTGAGTATATGGAAGAGTAAAATAAGCCTAATATCGTAAAATACGAAATAAAAATATCTATTTACTGTACCCAATTTTTACAATAAAAGTAATATTACAATTAGTCATTATAAGATGACTATAGTTCAGACTATAGACGCCTCAAAATCGATTACGACTGCGTAAAAACATGATTTTCGACGTCTACATAACCTGCCGCTTGACCAACTACTTATCAACTAGTCATTATTTCAGTTATTATTCATGAATGCATTGAACATTGTTGTACTAGTAATTATATACAGTCGCACAGTAGGAAGGCACATATAAAATTTTTTAAACCTTCTGTCACTAAACATCTCGCGTTTTTAAGGATTTTTATTATGCACATAAAATATTACCCCTGTTGTAGAGACATCGTTGTAAAAGAAAGAGTCTTCAGTTCATCTCTTACGTTCAACATGATAGCACCAAAATATCTTGCGTATAGGAGTTATAGTAGATATGATTATGGATTATTATCAAATAAAGGTTAGATAAAATATATTTCGTCCCAAAGTGGAACACATAATCTATCAAAGCTTTTCCAAAACAGATTTCGATTGGGCAGTGAAATTAAATCGATTTAGTCTAGAATTAATCGGACTTTGGCCGAGATTCGAACAAACTACATGGGAAAAGCGTGTGTGCAATTTACGTGCACTATTCATTTTCTTATTGATAATATTTGTTCTTATGATTCCTGCTATACATTCTCTGATTAGAGTCCATTTTGACATTTTACTTGTGACAGATAATTTGATGAGCACTTTACCAGTCATTACTTCCATCTTAAGACTTGTAATTTTTTGGTGGAAAAGAAGAGGTAGATAAAGTAGCGATTTGATCGTTACGCGATATAAAATATATTTACAATATACGTTTTATATATCAGCAGAATTAATCTCTATTTTTTTTTGTAAAATTCTAGAATGGAATTAAAGGTATATTTATTTATATTAAATTGTAGAGAGAAATTAAAAACATAAAAGTTAGGTTCATGTACCGCAGTTGTTATCGATTTATTTACAATAGTAATTATATTTATATTTTACATTTGTTGCAATTGCGGACTAATCACACTAACTAAAAAAAATTTTTTTAACTCGAAATAAAACTATCGTTTTTAAAAATTGTTGGTCATTGAATTCAAATTTGTAAAATTAAATTTGCTCTCTATCACATTTAGTTTTTTGAATAATAAAGAAAAATCTATAAAAATTGAAAAAAAACATTTGAAAAAAGCAAAAATGCAACTTTTCAAAAATTTGCCACTATTTTTTCTGATTATCTAAAAAATGTGAATGTAACAGAGCAAAACAGTTCGAGATTCCTATTTACTTACTTCAAAATTTTAATTCAATGACTCGAAATCTATAAGAAACGTCTACTCTGTATTCAGTTAATTTTCAAAGAAATTTGTTGTGATCCTAGGTTAATAACGTATTTCCGCAATTTTCAATATCTAATTAAAACTAAATTTAATCAAAATAAAATTTTTATAAATCATAATAGAAATTTCAGTCTATTTATTATAAATATATCAATATACGTATATATGTACATTATTACATATAACATTTATTTTATTATATTATTATTACTTTTTCTTTATCGTTGTATTCTTAAAGCTGTCGCACCGATAATACATTTGATTGCGAACGATTGGACAAAGACAACAACATCTCAAGAAAAAGCAATGATGATAGCAAAAGCTCAAATTGCACGCATTATTGTCACATTTGGATATGGCATGATGGGAGCAGCCATTATTGTTATGCTTATTTTGCCTATATTTGGTTACTCAGTGAGATACCTGTCTAATGTTACTGCAGATCTAGAGAGACCACTCCCACTGCAAACATATTACATCTACGATACAACAAAAAGTCCACAATATGAATTGACATATGCTGTTCAAAGTATTACCGCATTTCTTTGTACCGTGTGTTATACAGGCATAGACAGTTTTCTTAGTCTTTCGATATTTCATATTTCTGGTCAACTGGACATTCTGAGAAATCGTCTCTTGCATTTACATATTGTCACCAATTTTAATAATGTTTTAAAGAATTGTATAATGGAACATATAAGGCTGCTTAGGTATATTTGTCCTAAACACATATTCCTATATGTACAATAAATTCCGGATTATTCAAAAATGCTTTTTCGTGTCCAGGATTCTCCGACCACGTTATCAAATTCTCGTGATAGCGTTACGCGCGATTTTTTTTAGCATAGCACTATCATAATGAGAACGTCGATTCGATAATAAGGTTAGATAATCCGGAAGATGAAAAAGACGCTGTCGGATAATCCGGATTCTACTGTATACATGTTTTAAATGTTACGTACATGTAAGTAATATGTAAGAATCAAATAATTGAAAGAATATTAATTGCAATATCAAATGTAATTGATTTTTTGTACATAAATTTTTGTATCGTAGATAAAAAACGTACAAGAAAGAGGGAATATAATAAACGGAATGTAATGCGATGCGCAAATTAAATATAATAGCTTTATTGCACCGTTAGGAGATACAAATCGAAATTATTTTGAAAAAGTCTACCAAGTAGTGTATAGTTACCTGGTTACAAATTGATTGATTTTTTGCTGATGAATTTTATGGTGTCTGTAAGCAATTTCGGTGATTTGTGTAGTAACTAATAAGAAAAGAACAAAAGCCGGGTGTAAAATTTTGTTATTTTTTAAGGAAATTTAGATTACTGAAACTGTTTATTGAGAAATTTTTTTGAAATACAACAACACAGAATATTGCAGCAATATTGGTGCAACATTTTGTGCTATAGAAGACATTTTGTTGAACACAAATGTACGAAAAGCAATCCCAGGTTCTTCAATAGAACGGAAAAAATAACCAGAAATGTTTAAAAAAATGTTTGATTAAGTTTTACTCTAACTTCCCTCTTAAAAATTTCTTCAAGCATTTAAAATATTAATAATTTGGACAGCAGAGCTAAAGAAAAATATAATTTCACGACACTCTCTCTGATGCTGTTTTTTATCAGTCATTACGAAAATAGCCAAATCTTCTTACGAACTCACAAAATCAACAGCAAAAAGCAATTAACTCAGAATCACGCCACTTGGCAAAATTTTCCAAAATAGTTTTGACTTGTAACTTCTAACAGAAATTAAGCTACTATGTATACAATATACGTCCAATTCGCACACGCCGATTCAAATTCTAATTTTTTTTAATCTTCTCTAATGTATTTATGTCTGCTTTAATCTAATTAAATGATAAATAAATAGTATTTTATAAACAATTATGATATTAAATTATATTATTTATCAAAACAGAAAATTGTTACTTTGAAATCATATTATAGATTTAAACAAAATTAGTATTCTTATCTGATAATATAAAATTATATCTTTTTGTAGATGTATGTACACACATACATATATGTAAACACATAGATGTATATAAACATAATGGATATCTTCTTTAGTATAAAGTGTTATATAAAATGACATTTTATAGAGCTATTAATCATGTGGAAGATATATTCAGTATAATATTGCTGATAATATTTCTATATTTCGGTATACTCTTCGCTTTCTATGGATTTTGGATAATAAATGTAATTAATTTTACAAGAAGTTTTTTTATAAAATTTACTGCTTATAAATAATTTTTATATATATATAAATATCGTCACATTTATGTTCAAATTGTAGTCACAATTTTTATTCACACACTTTTTACATGTTTTTTTTAAATAATAATTGTAAAATGACAATTCTAAAATTTTCTTATTGATATATTCAAGAAAACTTTATAATTGAAATAACCATAATAATGTAAACGAGAGATTCCATATTTAAAAATTACATAAGAGATATAATTATATAAGCTATATTGATACATATAATATAATTCTAACAAGAAAATTACCTTACAAAGTATCAACTTCTGATTTAATGAAATATTTATATGTTAT